TAGGGGCTCCTGGCATCGCTACTAGGAGCAAGGACGCTACTAGGGGCTCCTGGCATCGCTACTAGGAGCAAGGACGCTACTAGGGGCTCCTGGCATCAGTAAGCAGGACTTCACATCTTCATATCCACCGGGGTCCATGTCTGATATCCACTTCTGCTTACTAGAGCTCTATGTTACCCAGAACAGTTTAGACATGTTTAGAACATGTTCTAATTTGGGCGTTTTCTGGGTGCAGTTAGCGGCAAAATCTCTGCCTAGCACTCGGTTTTGACTATATATACATGTATAAATCTGACAGAGTACTCGTATCATAGCAATGGACGGTCATTAATGATTTTGCACCCTAACATGAGTCCAAAGACTATTTTGCCCCACTGACGTAAAGGACCTTCCTAGACTGGGCGTCACCTGCTTAGTAGCCAGACCATTTTTGGCAACATCGTCTTGGACTGCCAGGGCCATACTGTTACATGGTATACCGCCGGTCAATGGCACCTCCGGTCACATCCGAGCTTCTCTGCCTTCTGCGTTTCACACAACGAGCAAACACATCTTGGGACAGGCTTACTTTAGTTTTCCTTTGAACCATCCCGCAGCTGAACACTATAGATGTACCACTTCTTCCACGAGCAAAAGGAACGGTAGATGAGTCTTTCTGGCCAACCATTCATTCTTGCCTTTGCACCATGAAATCTCTTCCCACTTCGGCAGACCGGAGCGTTGATCGCGGTGTGGGCCGTTTTTTCTGTGACCCGCGCTTTTCGCGCGCGCTTCGCGAACCCGCCCACCCGGAACCACGACTGTCTGGCCAGGCCGTCCGCCATCGGCTTCAGGTGGACTGGGACCACTTGGACCAGGCCCCGAAGATCGCGACCCCCCGCCCCGCGGTGGCCGCCGCCCGCGCGGACTGATCCGTCGCGAGCTGCCGCTGCCGCTGCGCTGCGTAGCGAGCAGCCGCAGCGAACCGTCGCGGGCGAGGGCGCAAAAGAGTCCGCGCCGGAGAGGTTGTTTTGGTCCGATCTGTTGGGGGATCGAGCTTAAGAAATACATGCAAAAATAAATTGCACAAGAATTCGCAGGGCCTTTTCGTAACTTGGAAGGATGGAAGTGAAGGAGAGGCAGCTGAGATGAACTGGTCCATAGTGAGGGCATTGACATGCATTGACTATAGGGTTGGTTCTTTCTTGTTTTGTCGCCTTTGAGCATTTCCAACGGCCAGCGCAGGGAGTTTCCGTGCAGTTTGTACCTTCACCCTTTTTGGTGGCTCAAAGTGGAAGGCTCATTGGCCGGGGACTCTAGGCAATGGAGACACTTGGGCAGCTTCCGGAACATGAGGCAGTCATGTGATCACCTAGGAGTGCTTGTTTGCCATGGCAAGTTAACTAAGTTGTCAGTCATATTCAGCAGGATTTCCATTGGTTTCCCATTTTTGTGTTTCTTTTAAGTCAACTTTCTGGGCAGGTCGTGGTAGTGAACACCTTCTTGGAGGTCAAGGACAGGTTTCGAAACCAGAGCGTGGCTCATCAAACACCAGAGAGGGAAAGCGAGTCTTTTTCGTGAACACGAGGCAAACTGGATCGAACCGACACGTGGCTCTAACAGATTGACTCTGACCCGGACCGGATCTGTTTGATTCCATGGACCTTTTTCGATGCCCCTTTTTTCGATGATCATTTCATCTTCACATCGATGATCAGTGAGTTCCCCCAACCACAACGTGTCTCACAGCGGGTCTGACGACAGCTGTGCTGGTCTGACCTCTCCCTCAAAAAAGCTGTGGTCTTCTCTCACTCTCGATCGATCTCACTCTCCGAGGAGAAGAGACGGAAGGGCTTGGAACGTGCTGGAACTGCTCCGGCTCGTACCTTGGGATCGCTCCAAGACGAGCTCGAAGACGAGGAGCTCGGTGAGGAGCCGAAGGAAGACGGGCTCGAAGACGAGGGGCTCGTCGTCTCGCATACGACACCGGAGACGCCGGAGCAGACGCCGGAGCAGACGCCAGAGCAGAAACCTGCCGAGAAGGAGGCGGGCGCTGGTCGGAATGTTGTATGTTACTATTTTGAAGGGAGCTGAAAGCTAGAGGGGGTCTTTCTTCTCGATGACTGGATGGCTGATTCGTGTTTTGGGACACTGCTTCCTTGTCTCCCCACTTGTCTCCTGTTGATATGTCTCCCCAGTTGTCTACTTGTGATTTGCACTTTTTCTGCCGCGGCTTCCTTGTCTCCTCACTTGTTGTGACTGGTCCGATGATACCTCTCCTGCCAACTTTCATTCGTTTTTTGGGCCAAGAGGAAAACATGTGCTTCCGTTTTGAGAATTAGTTGCTACCTGAGGTCTATGCAGGTGTTCTTCTTTTTTTCAATGATTGAGTGAGTGCATGTAGTGTTTTGCTTTCTGGGCACAGGCTGGCTGGGTTCCGCCGGAACAGTGTTCCCTGAAAGGACTGCGACGGAAAGAAAGCCAGAGGAAGTCGAAGACGACCGAGTAGCATGGCTGCACCAGCTGCTTTCGTTTGTTCACGCTGTCGGAATCTCCGTGCCTTTTTGTTGGGTGTTTCACGGTTGTTCTGCACTGGTGGGATCTTGTGAAGTAATATGTAACAAACTTAGTATAGCGAAAGTATAAATCGATGCTTGGCTTGACCTGAGCTCAGTGCAGGCTTACAGAGGTTTGACACGCCCGACCTGTGGGAGCAACAACAAATCCTTCTCGGAGAATTTCCTGTGCCACAGTCGCCAGAAGAGCCAACAGTGGCACAGGCCTTGGGAGCTTTTGGGTGTCTTTTCGAAAAAAACGGACGCAGGGTGCTGGGGTGTTATTCTTTTTGGTTGCTAGCAGTGCTAGCAGTGCAAGAACCTTTAGATGAAAGTTCAGATTCATGTGTTCTGGTCAGCTCTTGTCTACCCATGGTCTACCCATGGTCTACCCATGTTGACCCGGCCCCAAATGGACGACAGGCTCATGCCGTTGCGAGTCTGCCTGAGGAGGTGGCAGCTGCGGCGCCGTGGCAGGCACTGGCAGCTGTGGGGTGCCGAAAGAACCAGCTTATCGTCCTGGTTTTGTATAGGAAGCGTCCGGACTTTTGAGAGAAAGCCAAAACCAATAGACGGATGTAGAGTTGTTGTATAGGGTGAGTAGAAAGTTCATGAAAGGTCTGTAGCATCTGTAGCATTGTAGCATGAGGGAAGGTGGATATGTTTTGAAAGACAACGATGCAGAGGCTTATGGAGTTCAAACACATGCAAGTTTCACAGGGACAGCAGTTGGCATACTGGACTTGCTCGTATGAATTCAATACATTTGATGATTCCTGTCAATTCCTTTGTTTCTTTGTTTTCTTCTTGTTTTGCAAAGTGGAAAGTCGATCAAACAGCAGGGCTTCAATGGTATGAGCTTTGCTTCTCTTCTTTTCGTGTCAACGACGTGTCGGTCCAAGATGCTTTGAAAGGAGGACGGTAAAGCGCAGGTCGACCTCACGAAACCAACAAATGAGTTATAGTCACTTTACATCATTCTACCTACCAAATGACGGATCTAGCAGCATCAAGCAGGAACAGACGCAGGATCTAGTCCAAAAGGAGCTTAGTCATTTTACCATATACCCCTATCGCGTTCAATAATTTGGTATCATAACTGGTGTGTTTCCATATATAAATTATAGAGGAGATACTGGCGCTCGTGAACGGCGCTAGTAACGACGGCGCGCGCGCCAGTAACGCACGCTTGCGCGCTCGGTCGTCATTGTCGTCCCGTTCGGATCCGTTCAGATCCATCGGTCCGGGATGGGCTCACACCGAGCCGAGCCGATTCCGGATTCCATCCAAATCACGTTGACCACAAAGCGTTGGTTTTCTGAGTGTGAAGACGACATGTTCACGTGGTTCACGACAGGAAAGCAGGGCTGTGAAGACTGTTCTCTTCGGAGTGTTCAAAGGATCAATAACGTTGCTTTACAGTAATGTATGTATTTTACAATATTTTACACCTCACACCTCGGGCATGTCATGTGCAAAGTGACACTTGCACAAAGAACATCCGAGAAGTCCTTGAGGCGTTCTGCGCTGGCGCAAACGCCTCACTGAAGGGTTGCCAGTTCTTCAGTTGCCACTTCTGTTTCAGCCAAGGCATCACCTCCCACGATCAACTACACCCCAGCGCCAAGCTCCTCGCAAGCGACGCCAGCGATGCCTCAGTTGCCGCCACAGGCGCCGGCGACACTCGCCCCGTCCGGTCGCCATCGAAACTCGCGCCCTTTGGACTCGTTGGTCGTTTGGCTTCAGCGAAGACTCATCATCGGCGTCAGAAGGATTAAATTAAGATGAAGAAGGATGAAGATCTAGAGTCTAATTACAAAGTCTATATACTATACCTGGACCCTCCAAGGGACTACCTATAGGCTTCCATTGGGCACCCCTTGGAGGGTCCTGGTAGTAGAGTCTATAGTTCTTTTTAAACCATATTTCCCCACCTGTCAGGTGAGGGTTAATTAGATTTTATGTCAGCTCATGCCCTCCTCCTCTTCCTCCTGCTCCTCGTCCTCGGCTGGCAGTGTTCACCGCCGGACCTCAACCGCGAGCGTCGGCTGGCAGTGTTTCCCCGCCGAACCTCAACCGCGAGTCAAAAGATATGCCAGAAAGAATGTCAGAAGAGATGCCAGAAAGAATGTCAGAAGATGGCCGGAAATAATGTCAGAAAGAATGTCAGGATGAAAGAATGCCGGAAGATATGCCCGAAAGAATGTCAGAACATATGCCAGAAAACATTCAGAAAGAATGCCAGAAAAATGTCAAACAATGCTTCAGTGCGTGCCAGAAAATTTGTCAGATTGAAATGTCATGGTGGGGGTCACAGTAAAGTATTTTCTAAGATTTATCATCTACACTGCTCCAGCTCAACTTGCTCAACCAAAAGCTGGTGTGTTTTTGCCATATTCTAAATACGCAGTCGCTCCAAATGAACCAGTTCCACTCTCCACAATCCCCTTGAAGGGTAATACATGATAAGCGCATCCAGCCATTTTCCGGCCACAAAAAAACGCGCCTTCCGCGAACACTGTCGCCACTCCGCTCAGGTGGCCATGCTCCTCATGGCGCCGGTGGCATGCCCAGTGCAAGTGACGCCCGTTGGATCGCCCTGCCGAACGTCGCAGGTGCGAGCAGCGGAAGAAATCGTCCGTCGGAAACGGTGGATCACGGAATTGGTGTCTATATGCTTTTGTCCTTTGGGTTAAGCCCTCATTGGCTTCAAGATGTTTCAAACCAATTGTGGATGAATTTTCGTGGCACCGACTGCAAAAGTGTCACAAGTCTCCTTTTTTCGAACTGTTTTGGAACAATTAAAGGGGTTCACCGCGCAGACCTGGACCAACATCTGCACCAAAGGACGAGCGCTCAAGCGTCATCGGTGCTGCTCCACTTCCCATCTTTTGGCCGCAAAGAATGCTGGAACTAGTGCTAGAGCTGGAGAAGCCAGGATTTCTCGAGGATGAGCCTCCCAGTCTGGGGTGAAAATCCACCCTAATTACTAATTACACTGGATGATGCCGGATCTATCCCTCCGCACGGGTCTTTCCGCCGTTCCACTTCGGCGAACCCGCTCACCCGCTTCGCCCGAACACCGCGCGGTTCCGCGCATCAAAGCCCGCGCGAGCCCGCAGCGCGGCACAGGCGGAGTCGGAGCCTCCCCGGGTGTTGCTCGGGAGGACGTTATCTCCGCGTCCCGAGGACGAACCTCGTGAGAAGCCGAGGTGCGAGCACCTCGGAGGTTTTTTCAGGGGCCGGATCTTTGCGTGGAGATGCTGAACCTGGTATGCTTATGGAGTTATGGTAGGTAGGAGGAGTAGCAGTCGTCGTTTGTAGTTGTAGCAGTGGTGGATTCCTTCATGTTCACTCCCAGAATGAGAAGCTTTCGAATTCACCAGAAGTCCCGTTCGACGACGAACTGTGCACGTTTAGCACCAAAGTGCCATGCAATAATCTGCTAATATATGCAATCCCTTTCTAGGTCATCTAAGGACAAGAATGGTCTTGGACTCCGATTCTTAAATTGGTAGAGTTGGAACATCACCAGACACAGACGCGACAGGATCGATGCCGCCCCTGACCCCCGGCGTTGGTCGGCTTCGCTGAAACCTCGTGGAGGGACGACCGCGGTGTCACCGCGCACCATGCGACCGCGCCAAGCGACTCCCGGAAAAACAAACATCTTAGGCCAGCTACTTGGGAGCCATGCGCTAGTGCAAGTCATCCAAAGACATCGTCGTCCGACGTGACGTGCAAAGAGAGAAAACACAGCAGAAAACACCAAGTCTTTCACACCACCGCAGCGTCACCATGAACGTCCATCCGACGGGTCTGGGTCACCTAGCTGGACGACCGTCGACACTGGGCGTTCGGCGTTGGCCATCGCCCAGGCCCACACAGGAGACGAGCCAGAGTGGTCCGCTGCCGCTGGAGACCCAGTGGTCCGCTGTGCACAGCGGCATCGTGAGACAAATCGACGCAACTCTTCGCGTCCTGCGTGCATCTCTTAGACACTGATGACACTGTAACATATATACTCAATATACTCTAAAGCATCCCTCAAAACCCAAAAGAAACCACCTAAGAAACACATGAAGAAACAACTCCTTTCATTTTCTTTCTCTTACAACTTGAGAAGAACCACCAAACCGCCCGGAGACCAGAGACCTTGGGCCGCTCCGTCTCAGGCCCGGTGCCTTGGAGCAAAGCAGCACGGCCATCGGCAGCGAACGGATTCGCTGGTGCGTCGACGGGCAAAAACTGGAGTCGCACGCCGAGAAGCTGATCAGCCCGGAGTGCCGCGGTTTTCGGGGACGGGTGAAGAAGGGAAGATGCACGATGCACGACTAGCTTGCTTGCTTAGCTTTTTGGTTGGGAGGGGAGGGGAAGAGGGCGGGAAGGCTTGGGTTTGGATGGATTTGATGATTGCTTTTGGTTCCTTCCCAGGTCAGATTGGGTGCTTCAGAGATGGAAAGACTTCTGATTACCTGTCTTTTCAGGGCAAAAGCTGAAAAGCTATGCACCGGTCCTTTGTTGTGTTGTCCACAGCGGGTTCGAGGGCGTTTGAACTTTGTCAGCAACCCAAAAGACGGTCGACGCGGACGATGTCCACATGTCGGTCGTTTATGGGCCTATATAGGATTATGTGGCTGAAATAGGAAGACCTCCCAGGCATTCCGACCCCCTGGAAGGTTCTGGAAAATAGACCAGTCTACCCAGCCAGGGCCAGGGGGGTGTCTCCGCGCACATGTTCCTCTTTTTTTTTCAGCCTTCCAGCCGAAATCACAGGTTTAAGCTCTATATTCCTGGAACTGGCGAGAGCCAACCCTTCCGCATCATGATCCTGGCGAATGAGACCGGGGGCAAGCATGGTGCTGGCTTCAAGAAGGCCAAGGGTCGAGGGAACATCGAACTCAAATGCTTCGGCTCTGTAGAGGGCGAACACAGCACTTCGATGCTGGTGACGGTGGGCAGTGGTGGTCGAAAACAGAAAGCGCGGGAGCCGGTGCGGCATAGCTTCGCGGAGAAGAGTTGCTGCCTGTTGCCGAAAGGGCGGGATCCTGCTTGGGATCTCAAAGCAGCATTGTGCAAAGAGACGAAGTGTGTCGAGCTTTGTATAGAGGTTCTACCGGAATAATTCGCCTAGAGATGCACCTGCGAAAGACAGGAGGCCTTAAGCAAAATTCGTGGTTTCACCCGGAGAAAGAGCCAGAAGGTAGCGAGCCAGCCGTGTTTAGTGTTATCCCAAAAGTGCGTTCGAGTGCGTTCTTCGCGTATGACACTGCGCAGATGACCAAAGTTCTCAAGACGTCAGAAGATCGATTGGACCGAAGATGGTTCTTCCCACCCAACCGCCATGCCCCATAATTCCGCTTCAAAGGAGGTTTTGGCCCCTGCTGAACGGAGGGCCAACCAGAAAACGGAGTTCGAAGGTCGGATTGCTCGACAGGAGAAGGTCTGACCTGAGCATCCAGGTCCCTCCATGATCCATCCATCGCAGCCAATGGATCTGATGCCCAAACGTGGGCCAATGCTGTGAGGCTCCGAACCACTCGCCCCTCGCCACGTGGGGAGCTCACGTGCACCGAGCACCGAGCGGCACGTGCGAGCACGAGCACCGAGGTCATGGTGCTGCCTCCTCCATGGGTGACGGGTGCGATGGAAAAGCCCGCTGGCACCAAGAACATGGGAACTTGGACGCAAGCCGTAGGGTCCTCAGCTGAGTTCTAGGCCTGGCGAAAGATGGCTGAGTTCAGCTCAGCCAATCATGGCTGGGTATGGAGATCTTCAAATCCTAATTACGCGTTGTCGCTCAATCCTTTTCATATCTTTTCATCCAGCTGTGTGCAGCGGCGTGGTGAAAACGCAAAAAACAAACAAAAGCTCGAGTGTCGCTGTTTTCAGCGACCTTGTTGGGGATTCCAAGGAGTTCCGCTGTTGCGAGATTGGGGTGAACCTGAAACGCCCGTGTTCGACCAACTCTGAAACGCTCGGCCTGAAATAGCACATGCTGAAACCAGAGGCGGACGGCTGTCCTGGCTGAGGTCTACACTCCTGAGCAGCAAGCTCGCCTAGGCGAGGCCAGAGAACCACCGCCCTGAGAAGATCGGAGAAGAGCACAGTGCTACAGCCACGCGGTTGCAGGCGGTATAGTTCTGTGCTTGCATGTCGAATCTGGCATGGCAGGTGTAGATGAAACTGGAAACAAAGTTGCGAAGGCTGGTACTGGCTACAACGACCTCCCCGTGTTGCCAAGTCATGCTAATTCAGTGTCTATTGCGTCGAGGAAGCTCCAGTGGCAGCAAAAGCGTATCAAGTGCGCCGTCCTTGGGACGCTTCTACACGTAGTCAGCGACGCATGAAATGATGACCGGCAAGCAAACAATTCTGCAATTCACGCCAGGGCCATGCTCCGAGGCCTGTCTCAGCTCCCGTGGCTGCTCCGGCTGCAGTGTGGAGCCTGGTGTGCACTTGAGTGAGATTACATGAGCTTGCAATCTCTGAGGCTGGAAGAATAGGGTTGGTGGGTCCAGCATGGACCAGGGGCGAAATTGAGAAGCCTGCTGGCACCAAAGACATGGGTGGCTGGCAAGGATTGGTGCAAGCCTCAGTTGCAATCCTTCATTCACCTGTCATGATCATCATGATCTTTGGATAGATGGAGGTTTATACGGCCGAGCAGCAAGCACGGCTAGGCGAGATATGCAAGATTGCTTCCTGAGTCTTGAGTTAACTGCAGAAGTTGCAGGTGTAGACGAGATGGGAAACAAACTCGCAAAGGCTCGACGCATTGACGAGTGACGAGTGCATCATTCGTTCATCACATCCACATTGGGTTTGGAGGAAGCTCCAGTGGCGAAAGCTGGAAGTCAAGCGTGCCTTGCTTGGAACATCTTGGAACAAGTTGGGGAGCGTTTTGTTTCTTGATGTCGAAAAGAACCCTTCGTTGGGGCTGTTTTGGGATGGACATATATAAATGGAGTTTCACATATAAAGTTCACACACCCAAACGATGCAAAGTGATCCAGAATGTAGCTTGCAGGGCCTTGTTTGTGGAACAACTTTT